CAGAAAAAAGAAAGGAGTAATAAAATTTTATTATCTCTGTGACAAGCAGATGAAGACGGAGACAGAAAGGTGCTCAGAGGTTAAACTTGCACAGTGAAAGGGACATAGAGACACTATCTTCCTAGGTGTTTACATTTCAAAGAGAAGGCTCTCAGATTTCCGAAAAAAAAAAAAAAAAAAAAAGAAAAAAAGAAAAAGAAAAAACAATCTTGGTTGTAAAGCTGACAAAAGGCTAACTCAGGAAGATGTAAAAAAAAAAATTATTTTGTATGTACTTTTCACTGGGTGGGACCGTCGCCCCCAGTGCAAACTGCGAAATATTTAGCAGTCTTTGTCCACCCCCTTCCCAAAATACCAGTAATGTCAAGCTCCAACCCCCTACCCCAGGCATTGTAGCAATAACAAAAGACAGAATAAGGAGAAGGGCGGGAGGAAAGAAAACTACCCTCAAATACCTCCTGGAAAAGGAAGGCCAAACTAGAGTGACTAACTCATCCCAATTTGCCTGGGACTTTTCCAGTTTAATTTTACCAGTTTTAGCACTAAAAGCCTCATGTCCCAGAAAATCCACTAGTTCCTGGCAAACTGGGACAGTTGGTCAACTGAACACCCCCTGACATATGCACACATGTGCATGCATGTTCCAACCATCTAATTACGTACGTGCGCCGCTTAGGAAAAAAAACAAAATAAAAAGATAGGCTTTAACATGAAAGAAATCTGGGTTTGGATTATGGCCCTGTCCCTTACCAGTGTTCTGACCTAGGGCAAGTTTCTGTTGATGAATTACAATAATGGGGGACTGGGTTCAGGAACCACCCCTCATACCCAAATCCAGGGATGCTCAAGTCCCTGATACAAGATGATGTAGGGTTTGCATATAACCTATGCACAATTTCATGTATACTTTAAATCATCTCTGGATGACTTATAATACCTAATTTACGATGTAAATGATATGTTGATAGTTGTACTGTTTAGGGAATAATGACAAAAAAAAGTCTACATTTTCCGTACAGGTACAATTTGTTTTTCCTGTTTAACTGTTCATACTTTATTCCTGTATCAGTAGGTTAAGAAAGTAAAATTTTCCCAAGCCCTGATTTATAGATCATGTTTATAAGTGGAGCACAAAAAGTTAAGCTTCAGAAACAATAACATTCAATGATTTACTTAAATGCAATTGTAATCCTTACTGAAAACTAAGGGCAATAATTTAATACAATAGACTAAATACACACAAAACCTATATATCCAGAACTATAAACGTGGTTTCCATGGCCACACACGGTTTTAGTCAAGGACCATTTCCACAATGAACAAGTACTTATACATACGTTAATAAAACACTGATGCAAATGCTTATCCTGTCATTAGCTTTTTAAGCAATGCCATTCCTGCTACCGAAAGCATTTATTTTTAGAAGCTTAAATCTGGGAAAACAAATTCTCCTAAAAGTTAGTAAGATAAGTCTGAAAAGATTTTAAATCAAAAAGTCTTCCAACACAGCATTATTCATGTGAAACTTAGTTTCTTTAAAAAAAAATAACTTGTTGCCCAGAGAAAATCAAAACAAATTATCTTTTAAGAGAGATAAACATTCTTGGCCGGGCGTGGTGGCTCAAGCCTGTAATCCCAGCACTTTGGGAGGCCGAGGCGGGTGGATCACGAGGTCAAGAGATCGAGACCATCCTGGTCATCATGGTGAAACCTCGTCTGTACTAAAACTACAAAAAATTAGCTGGGCATGGTGGCGTGTGCCTGTAATCCCAGCTACTCAGGAGGCTGAGGCAGGAGAATTGCCTGAACCCAGGAGGCGGAGGTTGCGGTGAGCTGAGATTGCGCCATTGCACTCCAGCCTGGGTAACATGAGTGAAACTCCGTCTCAAAAAAAAAAAAAAAAAAAAAAAAAAAGAGAGATAAACATTCTTATAAAAAACTGTATTTTCCTCTATCATCTCTCTAAAAGAAACACAAACCAGTTCATTGTCTGTATTTATTTTTCTGAGACAGAGTCACGCTCTATTGCCCAGATTGGAGTACAGTGGCGTCCTCTCGGCTCACTGCAATCTCCGCCTCCCCAGTTCCAGCAATTCTTCTGCCTCAGCCTCCCAAATAGCCGGGATTACAAGCACTTGCCACCACGGCTGGCTTTTTTTTTTTTTTTTTTGAGATGAAGTTTCACTCTGTCACCAGGCTGAAGTGCAGTGGCTTGATCTCGGCTCACTGCAACCTCCGCCTCCCGGGTTAAAGCGATTCTCCTGCCTCAGCCTCCTGAGTAGCTGGGACTACAAGTGCATGCCTCTACAACCAGCTAATTTTTTAATTTTAGTAGAGATGGGGTTTCACCTTGTTGGCCAGGCTGATCTCAAACTCCTGACCTCAGGTGATCTGCCTGCCTCAGCCTCCCAAAGTGCTGGGATTACAGGCGTGGGCCATCACACCCAATCCAGTTCATTATCTTTAATAATAATTATCTTAATAATCTTTCACAATAAACCAGACAACTAGTTGTCTAAAAACTTCCAAATACATGAAGAACATGGCTGAGGTGTCGAGTCAAAAATGCCATTTAGATTTCACATATTAAATAACTACAGTCTAGCTTACAAAAGCATAAACATACCTAACCCATAAATAATACTTTATTCTTTAGACAGACAAAAGTCAGAAGAAACTGCATGGTTTGCAAGGTACTTTGACTTATGCATGGTTATTAAAACCCAGTAAGTAATTCAAGTATGGTAATACAAAGGCAGGCAATTAAATGCACCAATATCACTCTAAAATCAAAGGCATAAAAATAAAGGGTGAAAACTGTGTTTCTCCATCTTTCATTTACATGGCTAGATATCAGAACCTTACTTTAGAAAATATACAATTATTTTTTTAAAAAAGAAAATATACAATTATTATATATGATTTCCCCAGTTGGTAATTTTCAGAAACTACAAAAAGTATCAAGATCCATAGTTTGCTTCATCAAACACTTTTCTAGCTTGTTTCAATTCCTCATTCATAGTAAGCAAGTCTTTAATCCTGGCAAACTTCCTTAGGTCCCTTTGAATCAAAAAGACAGTATCTTCAACTTGTATCGACCTTGTCTTCCAAAGGACATTGCCTTGTGAGTCATTTCAGTGATAAACTCTATGACAAGATCTTCAAGAATATCCACTGACTCAGTATCAGGATTCTGGTCATCCCCAAAGCCATACATCATACATCACAATTCTTTAGAAAAAAGTATCTTTCTTTTACCCTGTCCACGTTTTGCACCTCCTCAAATTTCTTCATTTTCTTCCTCAAAGTGGGGTCCTTTCCTCATTCTGCCATCCCACTAGCCCACCAACCCATAGCACCCACAATTTTTTTTCATTTTAAGGCAAGGTTTCGCTGTGTTGCCTAGGATAGAGTGCTGTGGTGCATAGCTCACTGCAACTTCAAACTCCTGGGCTCAAGCTGTCCTCCTGCCTCAGCTTCCCAAGATGCAATGTTTTAAAAAGTATTTTCCATTCACATTGAATCCACAGATGCAGAAACCATGGCTCTGGAGGGCCGACTATACTATCAACAACTCTGGTTGGCACTTTTCTTGTCTGTTTAAGGGAATAAAAATGATGCAACCTCTCAGGGCTGGTGTGAGAGCAACACCTAATAAATTGCCTTCCCTCTTTCTTATGTGAATTTGGGCTTCAGTTTTCCAAAACTCACCTCCTGACATACCCTCAATTTTTTTTATTTCTTCTTTAGTGAAATTAGCTTATTGTGTTCTAAACTAATTATCTGTATCTGAATTAGAAAAGGAGCTGATATGGTTTGGCTGTGTCACCACCTAAATCTCACCTTGAATTGTAGTTCCCATAATCCCCACGTTCCCATTACCTCCATGCTGCTATTCTCATGATAGTGAGTGAGTTCTCACAAAATCTGATGGCTTTTCCCTCTTTGTGTGGCACTTCTCCTTCCTGCTATCATGTGAAGAGGATGTGTTTACTTCCCCTTCTGCCATGATTGTAAGTTTCCTGAGGCCTCTCCAGCCATGCGGAACTGAGTCAACTAAACCTCTTCCTTTGTAAATTACCAAGTCTCAGGCAGTTCTTTATAGTAGTGTGAGAATGGACTAATACAGAAGCCTTTGTGAACAGGCAAAATATCTTTGCATCCTAGTTTTATAGTTCTTAATGCAGTGGCTGCAGATAGAGGGTTCAGTAGGATTTGTTAGTTGCTATATCATCTTTATTCTTCTGTAAGTGCTGATATTGTACAGTTGATAGGATGGGACATGAATAACTTTTATAGAATACAAATCTTCAAATTCAATAATGTATTAGTACAGTGCACAGCCAGTGTGCTTGAGGGCAGCTCCAGCTGATGAATTACCTCCCGTGGCCTGGCTCTCTTGGTGACTTAAGTGCTCCCAAACAAGGGAATCATTTAGCTGAGTTAGAGATAGTTTGGGTGGAAAAATTAGGGAGCTTGGATGTAGGAGAAGGTTCAGTGGTCCAGGAAAGGAGAGGAGACAATAACTCATGACAGGGAAACAATTCTGGAGTTAAGAGGATCCTAGAAAGTTAGCAAGTGACTTTCCTGAAGCCATTTCATGTAGATGGGGCTGGCTGCCATTTTACCCTTTTTCTCATCAAAATTTTTCAATTAAAATTTGAAACACTAATTTTTATCAAAGAAGTCAATGATAGGGTTGCCAGATAAAATACACAAAGCCCAGATAATTTTGAATTTCAAATAAACAGTGAATAATTTGTTAGTATAAATGTGTTCCAAATATTGCGTGGGGCTTATGCTAAAAAATTATTTCTCATTTACCTGGAATTCAAATTTAAACTGGGCTTCCTGCATTTTTATTTGCTAAATCTGGCCACACTAGTCAGCGAAAAATAAAATTCACTTCACAGAAACCCACAGTACAGCTAACGTCCATGAGAATACGTTTAAAGAAACACGGTCCTTGATCCACACAGACACACACTACATATCATAAATGAAGGTCATAATTCTCTTTTAATGTGATTGATGTTATTTTAATGACTTTTACGTCAAACTCAGATTCCCAGTTACAGGCACCCTTGGCTAGTTTTATCTGTGTAATATTCAAGGCTGCATATGTGATCATGATCTTGGGTTTCATCTGAGGTGTTAGAAGCCATGTCTCTTGAGGTACTTGGCTCGTGCAAGGACATCATTGCAGAAGTCACAGCTCAGGTCCTGGCTGCTTCGGACATAGCCAGCACCCCCACTGTAGGCACAGAGTCCACCTGAAATGCATGAGATAGGTTAATGCTGACCTAGGGTACTCGGCAGTTAACTCTGATTCTCTATCAGGAGGCAACTGGGGTTTGTCTATAGGGAGGCAACTGGGGTTTGGGGGAACCTGGTGCAATGTATTACGTTTGTCCCTATTAATTCTGTGCTTGAGACAACTGACTGACAGTGTTACACATACCTCTCAGGTACTGGTCAGGGGTCCAGGTTGGAAACCTCCTCTGGATTTCTTTGATTCTTGTAGTCAGAACCTCAGTCATCCGAGAAACCTGAGACTCACTAATCCAGGATGTGGGAGCATGAGAGCCAGGGTCCTAGAGGGAGGGAGGCAGAGAAGAAGCCAGGTAAGCCGAGTGGGAGGATGATCCAGCTTCTTGGGCTCAGTGGCCCTTGTTCAGAACTTTCCCTCCTCTTGTTCTTTCACCTTTGATGGAACCAATGCCACCTTCAATCTCCCTGTGAGGTAGGTTAGATAGGGTGGTCATAGCCTCCCTATGGGGAATAAACTTGCCAGATAGATGGAGAGAACAAATCTCTGACCATGCACAAACGACATTCAGGACTCATGGTTAGAATATCCTAGAGTGCCAGGAAAGGTTGCTCGTGCCTATACTCCTAGCACTTTGGGAGGCTGAGGCAGGTGTATCACTTAAGCTCAGGAGTTCGAGACCAGCATCAGCAACACAGGGAAACTTCATCTCTACAAAAAATACAAAAATTAGTGGTGTGTGCCTGTAGTCCCAGCTACTGGGGAGGCTGAGGTGGAAGGGCCTAAGAGGATTGACTGAGCCTGGGAGGCAGAGGTTGCAGTAAGCCATGATTGCACCACTGCATTCCAGCCTGGGTGACAGAGTGAGACCCTGTCTCAAGAAAAAGAAAATTCTGCAGCAAGGAGGACAAAGAGCAGAAGGGAAAATTCCCAAATCGGTGCAAGAACAGAAACCCACGATTAATGTCCTTGGGCTGACCTATGCTCATTATAAGAGTGAAAAAAAGAAAAGTACACACCTGGGTGGAGAATTAAAATGCTGAGACACGTGATGTATGTGCTAGCATGCATAGCAATAGCACATGTGCATCCAGGAGACCCCAAAACATGCTTAACAGCAACATGCGTTCCCTCTTTCTTATGATTAATCATAAAAGCTTTCCATGAAGGGATTTTCCCAAAGTCACCTGAGGTTGCCTCAACCTCCACCCAGCTACCAAAGCGTACTTTTGCTTTGCAATAAACTTCTTCACCTATATTTACTTTGGACTTGCTCTCAAATTATTTTGTGTGGCAAAGTCTAGAACTTGAAGTGGCCCTCCAACAACACCTGGAGATTAAATAGTAAAGCTATTTGTACCTGTTAGGATAGCTATTGTCAAAAATGCAAAAGACTGGTGCTATAATTTGAATGTTTGTCCCCTGTGAAATCCATGTTGAAATTTAATCCCCCATGTGGCAGTACTGAGAGGTGGGGCCTTTAAGAGATGATTAGATGAATCCATTCATAGACTGATGGATTAGTGGATTAATGGTTATCACAGGAGTGGGGCTGGTGGCTTTATAAGAAGAGGAAGAGAGACAGCCAGCACATTCAGCCTCTCACCATGTGATGCCCCGAGCCGCCTTGGGACTCTGCAGAGAGTCCCCACCAGCCAGAAGGCTCTACCTGATGTGTCCCCTTGACCTTGGGGTTCACAGCCTCCAAAACTGTAAGAAATAAATTTTATTTTTCATAAATTACCCAGATTTAGGTATTCTGAATAAGCAACAGAAAACAGACTAAGACAACGGGGGTTGGTGAGGATGCAGAGAAACTGGAATCATTGTACATTGTTGATGGCAATGCGAAATGGTGCAGCTACCATGGAAAACAGTATTGTGGTTTCTCAAAAAATAAAATTAGAACTACTATATGGGCCAAGCGCAGTGGCTCCCACCTGTAATCCCAGCACTTTGGGAGACCAAGGTGGGTAGATTACCTGAGGTCAGGAGTTCGAGACCTGCCTGGCCTCTTGGCTATTGGGAATAGCTTTGCAATGAATGTGGGAGCTCAGTATCTCTTAGATCTCCTGATTCCAATTCTTTTGGATGAATACCCAGTAAGAGGATTTCATCTGTCAGGTATATTTAGGTTGTTTCTACCTCTTGGCTATTGGGAATAGCTTTGCAATGAATGTGGGAGTGTAGATATCTCTTAGAGATCTTGATTCCAAATCTTTTGGATGAATACCCAGAAACAGGATTTCTAAATCATATGGTAGTTGTGTGTGTGTGTGTGTGTGTGTGTGTGTGTGTATGTATTTTAAATTTCCATATGATCAGAGATATTTTTAAAATTATCTTCTAGCATAATTGTATTATTGTGGAATCTAAAATTTTTGAGGATTTCTTTAATAGATGATATATGATCAACTTTTGTAAAATGTTCCTCATGTGCATGAGACAATTGTATATATCCTAATGGATACATAAATAATTATATCCCCCACCTTCTCTCTCTCTTTTTCCTTCTCTCTCTCCCTCTCACCCCCAATTAACAATCAAGCTTGTTAATTCTGTTCTTGTTATGTGATAGCCTAACAGACTCCATCTTAGATGTAAGCCTGACAAACTCCATCTTAGCCTCTCCCTCCCCACCATTTCTCCATGTGCACAGCTGGGTCACACTGTACCCAGTAACTTGTAACCATTGTAACTACATCCTGCTTAGCAAGTCTACCTGCTATTGTGAGTAACCTACCCCACTTGGTGACTGATTGTATGGAAAGTCCCCCCTGCTACCCTACTTTGTAACCAACAATCCTGGGAACCTCCTGCCTCCTAGTTACCAGCTTCCTTAACTAGCTTGCTTGTTCTGCTTCTGTAATTCTGCTTTGCCACCGCCCTTCTCTAAGCAAGGCATAAAAAGGAATCAAGCCCCTTCTGCCAAGAGAGTTTGAGCGTGAGCTGACTCTCCGTCACCGGCAATAAAGGACTCTCAACTGGAACTCAGAGTGTGGCACTTCCCGTCAAACTCACTCGCATATAACAGCTACATGTGTCAATTGTTTTACTGATTTTTGATCTATATCTTTGCTGGTTTGTTTATTGTATAACCGGTAAATAATCAAGAGGGATGTGTTGCTATTTTCCACTGTGATAACACGTTTATTATTATAATAATTTTTGCTGCATGTATTTTGAGGCTATTTTACTGGTGTCTATTTGTTTTAAATTGCTGTACTTCCTTGATAAATTCAGTCTTTTTATTATGTCATGATTCTCTCTATCCCAAATATTTTTGTTCTAAAGTGTATTTTATTTAATATATCATAGTTATCAACATTATTTTGACTATTGTATTCCTGATAGGTCTTCTTTTTACCATAGTTTTACTTCAAACTTTTGTGTATTCAAATGCGCTGTTTCTCACATAAACCATTTAAATCTAGGCTTTTAATCTAATTCATACATCTGTGTCTTTAAACCAGAAAGTTTCTTCTATTTATATTAATTGTGATTATTAATGTCTTGTAATTGCTACCATCATCTTAATTTCTTATTTCAATGTGTCCCTCTTTTTCTACCTTCCTTTTTGCTCCTGTCTTTATTGTTATTATTATTATTAGACAGAGTCTCACTCTCTCACCCAGATTGGAGGACAGTGGCATGATTTCAGCTCACTGAAACCTCCACCTTCCAGGCTCAGGTGATTCTCCTGCCTCAGCCTCCTGAGTAGCTCGGATTACATGTGCCCACCACTACTACCTTGCTAATTTTTGTATTTTTAGTGAAGACAGGATTTCACCTTGTTGGCCAGGCTGGTCCCGAACTCCTGACCTCAAATGATCCACCTTCCTCAGCCTCCCAAAATGCTGGGATTAAAGAGATGAGCCACCCTGTCCAGCCTATTTTGTAATTGAAACTATGTCTCACCCTAAATAAGGCAAGGACTCTCTGATTCCTTGTCTCCCCATCATGTTGACCAAACCTGAACTCTGGGTTTTACTTAAAATGTGGTCCAGGGACCAGCAACATCAGCAACAACTGGGAACTTATTTATTAGGCTTGCAGAACTTTGGGCCCCATTTCAGACCTTACCAAGTCAGAATTCTCACGTAAACAAGAGCCCCAGTGTTCATATGCACAATAAGCTTCAAGAGTCACTAAATTACACTTAAAAAAAAAAATCTGTGGCTGGGTAAAGTGGCTCACTCCTATAATCCCAGTACTTTGGGAGGCTGAGGCAGGCAGACCACTTGAGTCCAGGAGTTCAAGACCAGCTTGCACAAGAAACCTCATCTCTACAAAAAATACAAAAATTAGCCAGGCATGATGGCACATGCCTGCAGTCCCAGCAATTCAGGAGGCTGAGGCAGGAGGATCACATAAGCCCAGGAGGCAGAGGTTGCAGTGAGCTGAGATGGTGCCACTGCCTTCCAGCCTGGGTGATGAAGCCAGATCCTGTCTCAAAAAAAAAAAAATCTGTTAAGATGATCGATATCATGCTAAGTGTTCTTACCAAAGAAAAAAGGTAGTAAACTTACAAGGTTTGGGCTAAGAAAGGGATGAGCAGATATTAATTCATTCACCAGTTAATGACTGAGTTAGTGTAGGTAGCAGTGATGCCCTCCTTCAATGCTGCCAGTGCAAACCCTCCAAATAGGCCAGAAAGGTTTTTCTGTCCGAACTTGTAATTTTTTTTCCAGATGGTCTGAATGTCCAAAGGGACTTCTAACCCTTCTTACATACCTTTGATTACCACTTCCATGTAGGTTTCATCATATTTGAAATGTCCAAATCTAGGGAATTCTCTTTTTTGTGTGTGTGTGAGATGGAGTCTCTCTCTGTTGCCCAGGCTGGAGTGCAGTGGCATGATCTCAGCTCACTGCAACCTCCACCTTGAAGGTTCAAGTGATCCTCCCACCTCAGCCTCCTGAGTAGCTGGGATTACAGGGATGCACCACCACATCCAGCTAATTTTTGAATTTTAGTAGAGATCGGGTTTCACCATGTTGGCCAGGCTAGTCTTGAACTCCTGACCTCAAGTAATCTGCTCTCCTTAACCTCCTAAAGTGCTGGGATTACAGGCATGAGCCACTGCACCTGGCCCAAATCTAGGAAATTTCTTATTTCATCTTCAAAGGAGATAGACTCATTCTTTCCTCAAAAATCAGATTTTACAAAGGAGACAGAACAGCGCAGCAGAAATGATGCCAGCCCTAACATCACAAGATACTGTTCTCAGTCCCAGTTCTGCATCTTGCAGCTGCTATGTGACTTTGTCACAACAACTCCTTCCTTGTGATTCTGTTTCCTCACTTGTCAAGGATGGATTACATGTCTCTCATCCCATCTAATCAGATTATTGGATGGGTTTCCAAATCCAAGTAAAATAAAGTATTAAGTATTTGAAAGTACTTTAAAAGTAGGCAAATTTAAAGAGATCATTGAGCAATAAATTTTTCTAAAATCTTAAAAAATGACTGCAATAATCACAGGTTTCTCAACAACAACCACAAAAGCAGTGTGAGATCAATGGAAAAAATTGAGCCTCATTCTCCCCCTTGCCATCACTAATTCCCTGGTGCAGAGTTAATTCAACAGTGGATTAGTGACCAGTTCCCCAGAACTCTCTGACAAATGATACCAGGGAGAATTCATGCAAAAATAAAACTCGATCTTCAGAACTAAGAATTGTACAGAAAAAAAGATAAAGGAAAATAAATTTAATATTTTTTGAGAATCCAACAGATATCAGGTACTTTTTTGCATTATTTCATGGAATCATCATAATTACGCTGTAAGACTGATATTTTATAGGTGGGGAAACTAAGACCCAGTGAGATTAAGCAACTTATTCAAGGTCACATGGCTACAAAATAACTGAGGAAAGATTTAATTTGTGGTCTTTCTCTTGGACCACTTACTGAAAATCCAGAATAGGGTAGCCCAGATAATATTCTGTAAACACAGCATTATTTATGTGAAAAGAAATTGTGGCTCAACATGAAACAGAAATGTTGCTGCTCATATCTCTCAGGAAGAACTGTGACTGTCACAGCTCTAGAGAGCTTCATTCACTCTACGATCTATGAAGCTTTGCCATCAACCGAAAAATGAAGCAGTTGTGCCACATAGCAGAATGGCCACATGTGTCAACAGATGGAGAGTTACCTGCACCACACTAGTCCTATCATCCACGTTGACCAGAATGTTGTCACCGGGAGACTTCCTGGACAAGACACCGGCGATCACAGCAGGATCCATGCAGTACTTTTGGCTAATGGTTTGCATCATGGGCTGATATTTCAGGAGGTATGGCATGTCTATTTCAGCCAGCCTTTCAGAAGCACGAACTCCTAAAGCAAACACGAAAGGAAGGCTGCAGCTTGGTGTAACTTATGCTGCAACGGGAGCTCAAAGGGGAAAGAAAGAACTCTCCAAGGATCTGGGTAGTGGTCAAAGACTGAGAATCCCAGATTTTGGTCTTAAATATTTAGTAGTGGCCACTCCCTGACCTGAGGTTAGGACTCTCCTGTGAGCTTGAGTCAGCATCCCTTGAGCTAGGGTCCCCTGTGGCTGTCAGTGCCCCTCGCTGGGCTCTCAGGGGTTGCTCTGGCCCACCAGGAGAATTCCATGGGCGTAGGAACCATTGGTCCCATTCTAAGCACCCCAATGAGCTAAAATGTGCCTGCCCATCAGCTGCAACATGACATGAAGGAGAAATTCTGCCAAACCCTTCGATAAGTCTTTAGATAGTGTTCCTCAGCAAGTTTGTTCACAATTGCCCAGTTTTGCACTCCTAAACGCCACCAAGAAATCATGCAAGTTTAAACCTTTCTGAAATAATAAGAATGCTGGGCAAAAGGAAAGCCAATATTAATCTACCTGGCTAGCCTTTCCTTCCAGGTGCTTTTATGGTTTAAAAAGCACTCTCAGCCAGGCACAATGGCTCATGCCTGTAATCTCAGCACTTTGGGAGGCCAAAGAGGGAGGATCACCTGAGGTCAGGAGTTTGAGATCAGCCTGACCACCATGGTGAAATCCCATCTCTACTAAAAATACAAAATCAGCCAGGCGTGGTGGCACATGCCTGTAATCCCAGCTACTTGGGATGCTGAGGCAGAAGAATCACTTGAACCCAGGAGGAAGAGGTTGCAGTGACCTGAGATTGCACCACTGCACTCCAGCCTGGGCAACAAGAGAGAAACTTGGTCTCAAAAAAAAAAAAAAATACAAACTGAAAAGCACACTTGTCTACATTGTGTCAATCAGAGCTCACAACAACACTGTAAATATTATATTGCTAGCCCCCTTTCTACAGATGCAGGGGACAGCTAAGTGACTTGTTCAAGAAGCAGAGCCAGGACTCTGACAAGGCTTTGGAACCCGAAACCTGGATCTCTTTCCAGCATGGTAAACAGTGAGAGCCAAGGGGATAGGTTGAGAGGGCAAGAGTGGACAAGGAGCTCATAACTACCACAGTAGTTCAAGCCATGACGTCTTCCAGTCCCACAAGATGCTCCAGGGGTGTCCAGGGTTTGAATGTTTCCATAGCATCCCCAGTTGCTGCTTTCAGACAAATCTACAATTCGAGAAAAGTTCAACCTAAGGCATGGAACTAGAATAGTTCTCATCATTCATGAATAATGAATCATGAATCATCCATGAATAAAATGACATTAATAAAAGTAATCATAATAAAGTCAATTACATCAACTTCACTCTGCAATTGAAACTCTTGAAATTTAAATGAGCAAGATGCCAATAAATTGTCACCAAACCTGCCTCCATACTAAATTCTCACCTGCTATCCTGTGGACATCAGTAACTATTGGAGCTACTGAAGCAGTTACACTCTGTAAAGCTGTGGTGCCCTTAGATGTTCTTAGGTGGTGTCTTGGAACACATCAGGGAGGATCTGTTCCCTGTAAAGTGGTCCTCATCTGACATCTTTTTTTTTTTTTTTTTGAGACGGTGTCTGGCTTTGTCACCCAGGCTGGAGTGCAGTGGCATGATCTCAACTCACTGCAACCTCTGCCTCCTGGGTTCAAGTGATTCTCCTGTCTCAGCCTCTGGAATAGCTGGGATTATAGGCACCTTCAACCATGCCCAGCTAATTTTTGTATTTTTAGTAAAGACAAGGTTTCACCAAGTTGGTCAGGTTGGTCTCGATCTCCTGACCCCAGGTGATACACACACCTTGGCCTCCCAAAAGTGCTGGGATTACAGGCGTGAGCCACCATGCAAGGCCTCATCTTACATCTTATAAGAACTTCAAGCACTTCGTCAAATACTCCTAACTTGTTGCTCTGATAAAATATTTATGTTTGCTCTGAAGAAACAAGTATAAAACCTGAATCTCTCTGTGGTATCAACCCAAGATCCAAAGTAAGGCATTGCTCATAAATGGGGATTTGAGGCTGGCTGCAATTTCTCTCAGGTACACTTCTAGATAAGAGCCTAAGGCTGCAGAAGATAGTGCAAGGAGAGAGGCATGGGACCAGTCTCCACATGGGCTCTTCCACTTTCCACTTCTTCACTTTTTCCTTTTCTCCTTTCCATCTCTCTCTACCGCTGTCATTCCAGTTGACACTGAAGAGGAGGAGTGGTTTCAGACACTCAGGATTTCACAAAGGCCACAGAAGAAGAGGATGTTTCTTCTCTTCACACCAGGAGGAGGGTGCACAAGTATTTATAACATATCTACAATTTACACAAGGTGGGTGCACAAGTATTTATAACACATCTACAATTCACACCAGAATTGGGGCACATGAGCCAGTACTAACATACCTACAGTAGGCAGGTATTGCTCCTTTTGAGAATTATCTCACCATTATAAGGCTGTACGAATGTCTCATTAGATTACTCTTATATTTATTTATGTATGTATTTATTTATTTTTAGACACGGTCTCACTGTCACCTAGGCTGGAGTGTAGTGGCATGATCATGACTTACCACAGCCTCAACCTCCAGGCTCAATCTATCCTCCCACCTCAGCCTCTCGAGTAGCTGGGACCACAGGCACAAGCCACCACGCCTGGCTAATTTTTTGAAGAGACGGGGTTTTGCCATGTTGCCCAGGCTGGTCTCAAAGTCCTGAACTCAAGTGATTTACCTGCCTGGACCTCCCAAAGTGCTGGGATTACAGGCATGAGCCACCACACCCAGCCAGATTACTCTTTTTGATTTATTTGATCCTTTGACTAAAGTATATTAGATTATTAAAACTTAATGATTTGCAGACCTTTGGAGCTGTATCTATTGCAGATAATAATATGTGTCCTGTATGTTTATATAAATGCATTTTAAGATTCTATTTTCTTACTAAAAGCTTTATGGGGTTGATAAATACTAGTCTTTTGGAGTAAACACTTCTGCTTCACAAACTTGTGATAAGTAACCTAAGAGAAAAGTGGAAATGAAAAGACCAGGTCTTTTATGAGTATACTAAAAATTAAACCAGCTGACATGTTTTTTATTTTTTAATCAGTACACTTTTATCTTTATGACTGGCAACAAATACCCTTAGTGTTGCAGTTGATTGTGTCACTCCTTGGTTCCTGCCTTGTGGACCTCTCCTTAGCCATATTCTATGATCCTCAAAGTTCCTTGTATTCCCAATGCTTAGCACCTTGTAGAAATTTTTAAATATTTGTTGAATGAATAGGTCAATAACTAAATGAATGACTATAAGACTTCATCTGAGAAATTTATTGAATTTAGAGTCAGGAAAATTAAGCTTCTCCTGAGGAACTTTGCTTCCTCCTTTTATTTATTAAAAAACAAGTGGGGCGGTTGTGGTGGATCACACCTGCAATCCTGGCACTTTGGGAGACTGAGGTGGGTGGATCATGAGGTCAGGAGTTTGAGACCAGCCTGGCCAACATGGTGAAACCCCATCTCTACTAAAAATACAAAAATTAGCCAGGAGTGGTGTCGGGTGCCTATAATCCCAGCTACTCAGGAGGCTGAGGCAGGAGATTGCTTGAAACTGGAAGATGGAGGTTGCAGTGAACTGAAATCACTACTGCACTCCAGCCTGGGCAAAAGAGCAAAACTCCATCTCAAAAAAAAAAAAAAGTAATTCCCATTTTTGCTCCAACTGCAAAGCTGACGTTTAATCACAGCAACTGTCAGCCTCAGTGGTCAGCTTAGTCACATCTACTTGGTTGCCTTGATTCTGGTTTTCTATTTGAATTAGTCTTATTCATTAGTCTTATTATGGCAACCACCTCAATTCTTCTATAGAAATATATGCTCTAGAAACAAATTCAATTTGGCATATTTTACAGTAGACAATGAGCAGCTACCAATGGTGTATATTTAAAGTCTGGCTTCAAGCAATGCTGTTTTAAGACCACCTTACATTCCAGAGAACCCCACTTTTCTGTGGGTCATTTAGGGAGAGACTGCTTGTTGGTGGCCATTCCTAACTTCAGGATTTATTGGATGGTTTAGGAAAAAAATAATGATTTTGTTGCATTTTCAAGTATCAGAAGTGCCATTATGTTCCTGTGCTCATCCTTCCCATCTCCAAAGTCATTTGGAAAAATCGGTCACACTCACCCACCAGGGCAAGGAGGCCCAGCAGCAGCCACAATACAGACATGATGACGATCTGGCTCTACGGCTCCTGAAACACTTCTAAAACAAAAATTAGCTTGAGGATGTAAAAATGTCAATCATCATCATAACAACATGTAATGTTTCTATGGAAGCAAATGTGAAAAAAACAAATTTCCCCGTATCTGACTTAAGAAAATGAATGATTTGAATCATAGTGAAAAAAAAGCAAAAGTCGGACAAGTAAGTGCTCCATTCTTCCTTTCAATTAACCTAAAAACGAGAAGACTCTTAGCCCGCAAGAACTCAACATAGAGTCAAGTTGCCAACTACTTTATCTCAAGAAGGCAAGACAATTTGAATCTCAACCACTGAGAAACATACTTACCTGGCTCCAGGCCCTGAAAAGCAAATTTTTGATGCCCATGCCTCATCTCAAGAGGCTCTTTATTATCTCCATTATCAAGAGGAGAATTTTGTATTAGTGATTTCTTGGAATTTAGGTCCCTTCTTCTTCAGGTTTGAGGAAAGACCACACTTTCCTCAGTGCCCTGGAATGTACACTGGTTGAAGATGTTTCCCACTGCTCTAAACCCATCCTGGAATCACAGGCCCCCTTTATCACCTTAAGCCGTGTTCCCCATTCTCCCTCTGTAAAACCCCCCACTGTGGAAACAAACCTGGACCAGAGCCCAGGGAGAATGGAAAGATGAGCTACCTCCACCAGCAAATCCCCAAGAAGCTGGCAGGGGTTCCACGACTGAACTCATAAGGTGCTCACAAGACTGGAGAATGAACACCTGGCCACCAGGGAGCACCCCCTCATGTGCTCTCCCTCTCTTATCCCAATCATTCCCCTAATCACCTTCCACGAGTACAAACAGCCCTGGTTCTCCTACTAGCTACCAAACCAATACACAAATACCACCCAGGATAGTTTGCTGTTGACCCCAGGGAATGGTAGAGTTTCTGGCCCCTTGCCTCCAAGACACCTCTGACCAAGCCCTCCCACTGCAGGGTATATGTCATCATCATCCTGGTCAGTGGAGCCTGGCAGCCTAGCATTTTGAATTATTATTATCGTTACATGTGGAAATGTGCATATAAACATGGCACTTGGTTCTTTCATGGCGCTTTTCTCATCTCTTTTGTTTTAAGGTTAATCTTATTGGTGGTTTCCTCCAAATGCCCAGGAAGAAATTACATCTCAAGATGGAAAGGCCTTAAGGAAGTTATTTGAAGCCAGGTGTGGTGGCACACACCTGTGGATCCTGCTACTCAGGAGGCTCAGGCAGGAGGATTGCTTGAGCCCAGAGGGTCAAGGTATAGTGTGCTATGATCACACCACTGCATTCCATCCTGGGAAATAGAGCAAGACCCTGTCTCAAAAAATAAAAATAAAAGAGAAAAAGGAAGTCATTCGATTTCTGTCTCCTTAAACTTAGGGGCACATGCCCTTTGGATGCAGTCATACTTTTTGTTATTTTCTCTACAACATTGAGATGGCCTGTCCAATTTTGCTTAGTTGAGCAGAAAATGTCATGCTCAGTCCCAACACCAAAATGATTCAGGGACTTGGAATCTTAGCTGGGTCTCCAGGAACTCTCAGATTTAATCACCCAACAGGAGTCATTTATTCAGCACCCTGAGTCTCTAGCAGTAAATGAGAGAGGACAACTGATACCAGAAGAAAAGAATGGAGAAAGAGCTGCTTGGGTACAGGAGAAGCTCATGGTCTCATGAAAGTGCATCACTGGCTTTATGGCAGGACCCCTCAGGAAAAAGCACTGCTCACATTCAAATGCTCCATTCAGGGTATTTCACTCTTTTTGCTGCTTTTCCAGGAAAGAAAAATACTTCTTCTTGGACCAAGTGGAAGGACTTAGCTTTTATTGTAACAGGAGAGTTACCTTATTTTCCATGCATGGAACTAAATATCTGTGGTGACAAGTCATTTCAATGAAAGAGTCTGTGTAAATCCATGTGCCACTTAATGGGAACACAGAATTACTTTCTGGTTGCCCCTGGGACCAGGTCTTTCTTCAAGGTAATTTTTTTTTCAGTTTTATCAGGGAAGAGCAAGAAGTCACAATGAACTTTTTCTTTTTTTTCTTAGACTAGAGTTTCACTCTGTCACCCAGGCTGGCGTGCAGTGGCATGATCATAGCTCACTGCAGCCTTGACCTCCTGGGCACAAGTGCTATTCCCACCTCAGCCTCCCTAGTAGCTGGAACTAGAGGCATGTGCCACCATGCCCAGATAAGTTTTTAGTTTTGTTGTAAAAATAGGTCTCACTATGTTTCCCTGGCTGGTCTTGGACTCCTGGCCTCAAGTGATCCTTCCACCTCAGCTTCCCAAGTAGGTGAGATTATAGGCTTAAGCCACTGCACCTAGCTTGGAATTGTTAAGTGGATAAACAATGTGTTTTGTCCATAAATACATGTTGAAGCAACCCAAACTCTATGGCCCAATTTTACACATGCTGAAAAGTACTCTATGTTTAGAAGAGATTGTTGAGACATCACTCGGTGTGCTCAAGGAGTGTCTGTCAGTTACCTATGACTCATTTGTTAATTCCCCTGTGACTCCCTGCTTAAAACCATTAGGAAGATGTCAGACCAAGGCAGTACAGTGGTCATGATGCCAAGCAAGATGTCTGTGGTGGCATCCTTCTTCTCCCTACCTGGAGAGCAAAATACTAACAAACAGCAAGGGGGTGTCGACAAGCCGGAGCAGCAGGCCTGCCAGGCACCCTGGAAACTGACAACCAGAGCATCCCTCAGGAGCTACCTCATGTTCCTGGTGGCTTGGTTGGGGGGATCTTCCTTTACCCACCCTCTCTCCACTGAGTACTTTGGAATCCCCAAAGCACTGTTTAAGTTTGTAATGCATCATAGGCCATGTCTTCCTCAGTTCATCAATTTTTCTGGAAAAGGTAGAAACAGGTGTCTTTGGTCTTGTGATTTTCCCACCTTAGAACCTTTTCCATGAATGCTCTTCAATCTTTACCTTAACCTTAACCTTAAACAGTATTATTGCAGATCATTGGGGCCCTCCATCCACCCCGGAAATGTGATGTATTAACACCTCAACATGCTGAGTGATGAAGGTAGCCCTTCCCTCATTGTGGTGTCCCCATGTAATCCTGGGAGAACTGAGAACTGCTGTACGCATCCACATTAGGCATGGTCTCCTGATCTAGGCTGTGTTGTCATCCTTGTTTATTGCTAACATGTCTCTGCATCTACCTACTCATTGTGTGCTGATAGGTCTTTCTTTTTTAAATTTTTTAATTTGAATTTTATATTTAAATTATTTTTTGTTTTGTTTTGTTTGAGATGGAGTCTCACTCTGTCACCCAGGCTGGAGTGCGGTGGTGCACTGAGTTCAAGTGACTTTCCTGTCTCAGCCTCCCGAGTAGCTGGAATTATAGGCACACATCTCCATGCCTGGCTAATTCTTGTGTTTTTAGTAGAGATGGGGTTTCACTGTGTTAGCCAGGCTGGTCTCAAACTCCTGATCTCAGGTGATCTACCAACGTCAGCCTCCCAAAGTACTGGGATTATAGGCATGAGCCACCATGCCCAGCCCCTGAATTTTTATTTGTTTCTTTGTTTGTTTGTTTGTTTTTGAGATAGAGTCTTGCTCTGTTTCCCAGGCTGGAGTGCAGTGACATGATCTTGGCTCACTGCAGCCTCAACCCTGACTGGGCTCAGGTGATCCTCATGCCTCAGCCTCATGAGTAGCAGGGATTACAGGCATGTGCCACCTTGCCCAGCTAAGTTTTGTATTTTTGGTAGAGACAGGGTTTTGCCATGTTGGCCAGGCTGGTCTCAAACTCCACGGCTCAAGCAATCCGCCTGCCTCAGCCTCCCAAAGTGCTGGGAACTACCAGCACCAGGTCTATTTTTAAATTATTTTAAATTTATTATTACTTTTGCTTTTTAAACATTTTCGTTTTTTATTTTTATTTTTAATTTTTTTAATTTTTGTTTTATTTTCTTTAAAAAGCTTTAAAATTTTCTAATTTGTTAAAGGACTTTCCAGTAGCATCACATCGTACTCATCCTTTTCTTGCTATTTTAATCTTCTCCCTCCCTCCCTACACACACACACACGCACGCACGCATGCACGCACACGCACACACACGCACACATGTATAGCAACACTCTAGCCCATTGCCTCACAGATTGCTATGAACCAACAGACCTAAAATTAAAATAGTATAACAATGCAGTCACAAATATAAAATAATATAAAATTATTCTGCCACTAAGATCATATTGTCTTGATAAAAACGTAACTTTTTAGACTAAAAATACAAGGCAGCAACATGAAGGTTCATTTTAAGTTGTCACGTTGTATAGAGTTGCACTTTCACATGGCCTGTGAAAAGGTATATTTACTGAATTTGGATTCTAATCAATAATTGCCAGCCTAGAAGAGCTCTGAAATTTGAGCATTTTCTTCCCTTTGGGCAGGCAAATCTCATCCCTGCAGAAAGAGGCTGTGAGCTGGAAGGGAGTTCTTTCTCTCAGTGCACCCTCTGTGCCTGCTTTCCCATTTGGGTTTCCGAGAGTTCAGAACTTCAGAAAGGATATTCCTGTGCTGGAGATTTCCCCATGAATGTTCCCCTGTGCACAAAGATCAAATCAGAGAGACCTTGACCTCTCTGTTCCATCTATGGACTCTAGAAGTTTCTCTTTTTATTCTGTTAGCCAAGATGATTAGACATGTTGGCCTTAGTTATTTCTCAGCTTGCAGAAAAACTAAGACTGTTATAGAACCAATATTTACAGTGTATGGGTTAATGCGGCATTGGCAAGACTGACCATGAGGGCAGGCAAGGGATTTACCATCTGGCAAAATACAAACACCTTAGTCTTTTGGCTTTTGGTTAAGAAATAAGATGTCGCATTTGGCCCTGTCACAGCTACAGTTAATTGCACATGCATTTCTTTTCTCCTATTCTTCGATTTGCACATGCTCACAAATCCAAAAGTAATGACATATTTGCATTACAATTTGATAAGTATTGTAATGAACAGGTAAAATTATTCTATCATCTACATATCTTTTCAA